CTTTTACTACAAACACAACTTAATATAAAAACAATTTAATAGTGTAAAATGTTAAGATGTCAGAATAATAACTTATTACAGTGTATGATGAACACAACATTAAACAGCTGAGAATTGTTTATAACCAAAATATCATGTAAATTTTAACAACAACACAAACAATGAAAATAATTAATAAGGTTATATTAATTAATTTCGATGATAAAAATTATATTACCTTAATTATTTAAAAATGTGATTTAAAAAATGAAATCGATTCAAATATATGTATAATTTTACACGTTTAAAGTTGTTTCTAAGTTGTCTACATTTTAATTAATTACAAAAACAAAGTTAGTGCATTACAAAACATTTGAATGTATAAATAAAAAACATTCGTGTGGATTTTTATTGATATGTTTTTTGATAAAATATAAAGAAATAGATAATTTAATTACTGATTGGAGCTTATGTTTAATAATTGTGGCATATTGTTTGTTCAATGAAAATAATTTAAGAATTTGTTGTAGTTTAATACTTTTTTTAATCAAGTCATTGCATCGTTATCCATAAATATTATACAGCAACTTTTTGTTAACAATTATATACAAATGTTATTTATTATTTTATTTTTACTTGCTTATCATTATATATATTTTTCATCTCACAACACACAAAATGAAACCATTGTATTTCTTTAACATCACAACAATTATGAATGTAAAATAAAGACTAATTTAATTATTACCTGTTGATGATTATATTAAAAAGATTCATAAAAAATTACTGTTTACTTTTACACATTTATTTAGAAATGTCATACAATTTGAATAAAACATTAAAACTTTTAAACGTGTAACTTCATACTAACAACGAAAATGATTCCACCAAATTGAAAATATGTATTTGTTTAGGCATAATGGAATTTTGGATTAAAATATAAACAAATATAAACATTAAATATATCAAATTCGTTGTCTAATAGTTTATAAAAAAATGTACAACAACTCAAAACAATTTAATTTAAAATTAAAAATGAAAACTTTGTCAAATTTTTAATATTGTTGTTTTGGACAATATTTGTTCCAAATAAATTTTTTCTTTACCATTTATTTTATTTTCTTTTTTCAGGTATTATAAATATAGTTAATTATGGTTTATTTTTATAATAAATTTTACAAACTTTATATAGTTGTAAAACTATGGATATACTAAACATAGTTTTTTTTAATGAGTATAGTTTGTTTTATAGTAAAACGACGAATATTTAATTTTAAATAGTTAAAGTGAGTTACTTTATGCCAAGGTGAGTTAATAGCCAATAAAAAAATTGAAAATAAAAAATATATTTTAGTTTATATATTAAAAATAATTAAAAAACAATCCCAGAATGCAAGCTTTTCCCATAAGGCTAGCTTAAAAGACTGTAGATATATAAACTAAAGTTGACTTAAATTAGTAAAATTTGTTTAAACTATTCTGGTATAAAGTTTAAAATTTTACCTTTCTACCAAAAAATACTAAAAAAATAAAAATAAAAAGTTCGTAATAATGTTTATTTATAAAACTTAAAGACCTTGATGTTTTTTAAATAGCAAAGAAAAAAATCGGTATTTTCAAATTAATTACCTTATATTAAAAACAATCACATTATTCACAACATTTTATTAAATGGTTATTTATTATATAAAACAAACAATAGATCATTTTTATTGTGTAATTTATATCGTCTACAACGTTTTGGGTTGTTTATGAATAAAAAACAATATATTAATGATATATGTCTGATTCATCTGTATTTTGCACAAGTCATATCATAATCATTTTTTAAAAACAATTTAAAAACTTGTTAATTTTTATTGAAAACATAATGTTGTAATAATTTTGAATGATGTATTATTTGATATTATGTGCTTTGATATTGTTTTATTAAACGGTGTCTTATTTTAAACAACAAATAAGTAATAAATTTGATTGATTACACAACAAAAAAATATTTCAACGTAATAACTAAATTAAAAAATAAATTCTATCAATATAAAAAAGAAATTTTGATATTATTTATTTTTAATAATCTTTAAGTTGCAAATTCAACAACAAACATTACGAAGTTAATTGAATTTATCTATATATTGAATAATTGAAAAAAATGAAAATTTTGGCGTTATAATTCCGTTCAGTTTATCGACAAGTCCATTTTTCCAATCTAAAAAACAACAAAACCAATTTTCATTTTATAATTTTTACAGTTAGTTTCACAACAATTAAAGACCTGCGCTATACTTGCACTAAACGCCATACCTGCACTGACTTACGTGGCAATACCTTTTTACATAAAAAATAGACAAAATGAAATAAAATGATAAAATAAAAAGAAAAGTTGAAAGAAAAAACTTGGGAAAATTGAAATTTTATCTGAAAATTTATGAAGAAAAGAACATATTAGAAAACAAAAATCATTTAATAGTTCGCTTAAATAATATACAGTTTTATATTTAAACAATTTACAAAAGTAATTAAAGCATAGAATGGTCTTTCGTTAGTTTCATTTTATATAAAGTAATAATAAAAAATAATGTGGTAATATAAACATTTTTCTATTTATATGAATCAAACAAAACCCGAATTTTAGAAAAGACTTGTATGTATTAATTCGGGAAAATTGTTATAATTCAAATCAAATTATTTAATGGGGTAAAATCTTTCAATTTGATAAACAAAATATATCAAAATTTAATACATTTTATTATAATAATATGATTCATTTTGAAAATAAAAACCGAAAATGTTTAAAAACATCTTATTGAAGATAAGATGTTTGAAAACAAATACAATACCGAATTAATATCTGTATGAATACGCTAATTATAATTTTATGTTAATTACACATTGTTATGAGTTATTAATATTGTACTATTATTATTAAATCAGAATTTAAACAAATTAATATTGATATTTATTATTTAGAATTGCATATTATATAATAACTTATAACACATTGAAAAACAATCCAAACCAAACCCACTTTAAGAACTATTCAATTACTCTTTTTCATGTCAATTACTTTATAAAATGAATTCAATTTTAAAACAAAAATTATGGGTTTATATTTAATTTAATAATAAACATTAAATATATTATAATTTAACAAACAACATCTATGTTTAAATTAATATTAAAATGGCACATGATATACTTTTAAAATTTATTTTTCTTTTTGAATACTCTTGTGTTGAAGGATTGTTATCGTGTTTACTATTCGAAAATTATAAATAATATATTATTTATAATAAATATACAATAATATAGTTTATTCTTTATCCTTACAATTTTGAATAAAAGTTGTTGAGAACTACATTATTAAAAACATCAACACTTTTATATTTTATTTTTTATTGTTTTTATTTTATTATTATTTTTTTTCTAAATTAATTCAAAACAAACACGGTCTCCAGTTTTAGGGGGACCGAACACATAGGTTTAGGGTTTATTTTCTCAAAATCGTTGAGAAAACAAAAAACAAATAAAAACAAGAGACAAAAGAAAAATATAATTTTAATAATTTTCTTTTTCATAACACACTTTTTTTGGTTTAGTAAAAAAGTGAGCAAAGCAAAATGTCGATTCTCTGATAACATAATATTGAGGGGGAAAATGTTATTTGTATGAAAACTAAAAACAAAAAAACAACAAAATTGATGAAGGGAATCGGGGCAGTGTCGAAAAAAATAGAATTTAAACAATTATTATAATAAGATCATTCGACGTATAATTTGAGGAAAAACACAAAAAATTTAAATTGTGAATAAATATGAAACAAAGATAGTTTAAAAATATTAAAATAAATGGAATTGATAACTATAACTTTTATTGTTTTATTGTGTAAATTGTTATAAGTTCATTTTATTTAACACAAATCGAAATTATTATTATTGATTAACATATTATAATTATTGTTATTATTAAATTTTTGAAAACAATTCAATTCAAACCCACCATAAGCACAATTCAATTACTCTTGATTATTTTTTCATCCTTTTGAATTCAATTGTCATTGATTTTCAAAGATTATGGGTTTATATATTATTAAACTATAATAAAACAATAAAAGTATTAGACTATGATATATCAAATTATATTAAAATCAAACCATATTATTGTAAATATAAATGCGTGTTTGTTTATCCAAATAGGCATTTATTGTTACATTTCAACTTTATTGAAACAAACAAGTAGCATTTTTGTGTATTGTGTGGCATTGGTTGGTAATTGATTATTCCCAATTTTGTATTAAAAAATACCCTCTTCTTTTATATCCTATTGAACCCGAAAAATAAAACAATTGTTCAATGATGAAAATAACTATATTTTACTTTAGTGTTGTTAAAAAATTGTTCAAAAACAATACAAATGTAAAAACGTTTGATTGTTTGGTACTGTTTTTAGTTTTTTTACAAGAAAAAAGTTTTGTTTATTCGAACAAACTTTTTGTTTTAAATAAAATAAAATCGTAAACTATTTCTAATAATTTTTGATTAAACAGTTTGATTTGGCAAAATTGTTTTATAAAATAACAAATGAAGAATATACCAAACAATTGCAAACTAATTTAAATAGTATTGAATATTAAATATTTAATTAATCATATATTCTGTCATTAAAATGGACCGTATTTGACTCTGGAACTATTTTTACTATCAGTCTTTTAATTCAAATATAAATATATTTTAATTCCAAAAGATTTATAAAATATAAAAATTAATTCAAAATATCATAATGTAATACAGTTAATCAATTATAATTATTGTTATAAATAACAAACGTTATAATTACAATATTAAAAATTGAAATTATGAAAGTAAAAATTGTATATACTGGTCTGGAAGAAATAAACAAGTAAAATACCAACGTTTTTATTGATCATTAGTTTCAAGCATTTGTCTCATGATATCCATCGTTAGGAAAGAGTTGATAAAAGTCAACATCTCAAGTTTTTTTGGAAGTAATATATTCCTTCTGTCTCAATAATAGCACCCACTCTTTGAGAATAACCTTTCTGATGGAGTGCTGACGCAAAGAAGGGTCGTATATCGTAGTGCAGCCTTTGCCAAGTCCGGCCACATTACCATCTTACTTCTCCAATATTGAGTGAGCGTTATATTGGAATTCTCATCCAAGACTGGTTGAGATTCATATTCCGTCATTTGGATGCTTAATGCCGTTTTCTGGATGGACTTACGAACAAGAAATTTTGTATATCTTTCCTCAAAAGACTGAACTGTTGTGGCTTCAGTGTTGCTTGTGTCTTCAATTGATGTAAAATTTGTACATTCATTATGATAGTTATCTTCTTCCGTCTTTATTCTCTCTGCGGTTTCTTCAATTGATGCATGGACATTGTCGATGAGTTCTTTATAATTTGGGTATATCATCAACTTTGTCATTGGATTGAAATAACATGCCATCATCACTTCTTTTGACCCCAAAATGTTGTAGTTACCTTCATAAAAGTAATTTTTTACTCCAAATTGGAGTGATTCAATAAATTCACTTTTCCTTTTATGCAGTTCAACTCTCACATGTGTTTCTGTGATGGTTGAATTCTCCGATGAAACATCTTCAACCACACATTCTTCACTACACTTGGTCCCCTGTGTTGTACTTACAATTACACGTGTTTCCATTACAGTTTCAATCCTTCCAATTGATTCAGTTTTCTGGCAAGAAAGACGGTCTTCCAAATGTAGAATCTCTCCACATAAAATCGACATGGTTGGCATCTTTTCGGAAGACAGTAAATCGCTTGTGGACTTTAAAGTAGTGACTATATTGATGACGAACGTTAGAAGGTTTTTGTCGTAGTCAGTGACGATGAATTTTGTTATGAAGAGTCTTCTTTGAACGTCGTCCGTTATTTTATTTGCGTTCTCCTTCATCACTTCGTTGATTTCTTCGACGTTGTCTCGTACACTACAAAGCATCCCCAACTTACTAAACCATCTAGTTTCAATATCATTTAACAATCTTTTCACAAACCCCTTGTTGTTAGTTTGAAATTTGGCCAATAAACGGGAATTTGCTCTTGAATTTTTAATTTTAGAAACTATTTGTTTCATTTTTTTAAAGAAATTTGCTATTAAAGTATTTTCAATAATCGCATTTTTGAATAACAAATCCAATTTGTGGCAACAACACCCAAAGTGTGTATATCCCGCTTCATTTATACCTGCTTTGACGTCGTTTGCGTTGTCTGATATTATAACAAACTATCCGAACATTTCTAATCCCCATTTTCGACTGTTTGTTTGATAAAATTGGCAATATTCGAACTAGAATGAATTTCAGAGAATGGCATCAACTCTAACACCAATTTTCTTACAACAGTTCCATAAGAATAGTGCAGCGTAAAACTAAAAAACGAATCTTGGTTTCTAGAAGACCAACTGTCAATGGTTCCACAAATCCCTCCATCGATTTTGGTTATTTCACTTTTTATTAATTTTGAGACATGATCTCTCAATTTGGGAAGACGTTCATCAATCATAGTTTGTCTACAAGGTATTTTATACCCAGGACATGCCTGTTCGAGTAATAAAACAAAAGCATCACACTCTACCAATGAAATGGGTACAAAAATGTAAGTCAATAAAAAAGGATATCACTTTGTCGATATTTCTGTGGACAACAAAAGGATCTCGAACACCACTATTGTTTGTTCGTGATGGTGTCACACGAGGGTTTTCTATGTTATGTGATATCTCCAAGTGTTTTGCCATATTTGTCGTCGTCACTACTCCCGAAAAATTGTACTGGTGACATTTATTTTTTTCTTCACATTCTAAGCATGACAATCTCCAGAAAGTGTCACTTCGAGTTTTTTGAACAAGTTTGTGTTTATTGTTTCCGTCTAATATAAACATTTTACCTCTTTCGTACGAGTTAATGGTTTTATCTTCTCGAGTCTCCTTATCGAAGTACATTTCTCTGAACTTGCAATGATTCCAAATAAAACTAAAATCTTTCTCAGTTGGTTCTTGCATTAAATTTTCAGATTAAAGATAACTTGAAAACAAAAATAATAATTAGATGATCAAGGTCAAGCAGGTTTAATATTATAATAAATATTTAAACAAACTATTATTTTGGATGTTTTGATAATAAATAGACAAAAATAGGAAATTATACATTTGGTTATATTGTGTCTGTTTTGAGTTTTTATTTTTTTAAAGAATGGTTTTCTAAACCAGTATTGGTAAATAGTATTTCTTTTAATGAATATAAATATAGTTTTAATTCAATTAAAAATTGTATATATTTAGTAAAAAAAATAATTATAAAAAAGATTATAATTAATTTTTAATTATAATCAATTATAATTAATTTTTAATTATAATCAATTATAATTATTTTTATATTTAAAATAAATTGTTTTCAAAAGCCAAATTTTAAGTTGTTCGGTTATTTTTCAAAAAACTTTTCATTTCGAATAGTTTTATTGTTTGTGTTTGTTGTTTATAAAACTTTCTATTTGTCAAATAAATTTGTTTTGTAATTAATCAAACAAACAATTTTAGAAAAAAATATTTTAAAAACTACATGTTCAATAAAAGTTTGTTTATGAAAAAAACAAAACAAAAACAAAAAAAGTTTTGACTCTGTTTGTCTGTTTTTCAACAACACTAATTTTACTTTATTAAAAAGTTACATAAAATGCGCTCATATAATGTCATTATTTTTGTAAAACATTTTTTACAAAAATATTTGTATAAATTATTTCCCAAAAATGTTTGATAGATGGTTTTCTTCTTTACAATTCACAAGACAAGATCAACATTACTGACTTTCTGGGACAAAAAACAAAAACAACATCTCAAAAATGTAATAATTATTAAAAAGCGTTTAATTTACCAAAGATTATTTTTAAAAAAGCACATTTATTTCTAATTGTGTTTCTGTGACAAAACTAAATATTAATCACCATATTGTGTCTGTTTTGAATCATATTGTTTTTCATTTGTAATTGATTAAATCCCAAAATATTAGTATAATCATGGCCAAATCAAACATAATATTGTATAGTATATTTACTAAAAAATATAGTATTAAATTTCACTTTGAAAAATGGTAATTTTTTATAGGTTTTGTCCATTCTCTCGTTTTTCCCATTGAAAAATGTAAATTATTTTTATTATTTACCAAATTATCATTTTGCCTCAAATTGCTTATTATTTTGCCATTTCTTTTATTCATTTACAATTTTCCATAATCTTTATACTCTTTTTTTCTTGTTTTCCCCGAAAAAATAGAGAAAAAAGTAATTATAATCAATTTTTTACTAATAATTATTAAAAAATAAACCAAGTTTTATCGAAATTTGGAAAACCTAAGTGTTCGACCTCCCCCCATTTCTGGAGACCGTGAAACAAACATACACTATAACACAAAAAAATAAAAAAGTCAAATTATCTACTTCATCTATGTTTAAACACAAATGGAGTTATCAAATTCATCGTACGCACCCTCTGAATCATCTTCTTCAAATATTTCTTTCTTTTCAAGTTCTGCAATTGTGACTTTTTTCTTTCCAACAAATTGTAAATCTTGCTCTGTTTCTTCTTCAAAATCCTCTCCGAGTTTTTTTCATTAACAACAAAGCGTTCAGAGCAATAAATTTGACTCTTGTTATATACATCTTTTCTCTTACTTTTGTTATTGTTTTTTGATACCTCCTAAACCCTGCCCGATTGAAAGCATTCATTATGTTAAGACCACTTGTTGCTCTATCCCAGGAAGTAACAATTGATACAATTTGTGTTGTCATGTTACTCAAAGCAAACTGTTCTAATTGTGCTTTGGTAAGAGTCCAGTTGTATAGACAATTTAACACTTTTTGTGTGTTTTTCGTTTTCGCACTTCTTTCTGTTTTTTAAGAGTGGCCAAAACAGTAGATACTTCCATTGATTCAATCGGTCTTGCTCCATCACTTTCTCCATCCCTTTGAATTGCGTTTTTTAATTCTGGATAATGTATCCATTTCTAATAGTTAATTTTTCAATTAATAAACTATATAACAAACTTTTTGATTTCCAAAGGTTGTGTGAAATGACTCGAGTGTGGAAACAGTTTAAGAATCGCAATTTTTCTCTCGTGGAATCCTTTAATGGCTTCATCAGTGAAATGCGATCCCAAACTATCCATTATTAGGATTCCCCACTCTCTTCTGTTGTTCTTTTTACGTTCTTCAAAGGCAGGAAATAATATCTTTGTTTTCCACAACAAGAATATTTCTTTGGTCATGAATCCGTTATCTTGATAGATAATGACCATTGAATCTAACATGACGTATTTCTCGATTTCATTGTCTATTGTTTTGCGTGGCACTATCAACATTGGTTTGAGTTTTGTTGAATCGCCCCAAATTCCTGCAACAAGACTTATTCGTTTGACCGCTCTGTCAACGGCATGTTCTAATTTGAATGATTTTGTTGGGTCACAATACACTGTCCGAGATTTTGTGTCAACAAAAGGAACAAATCCTGATTCATCCATGTTAAGAAGGAGGGATGGATAGACACCAGACAGTTTTATAGATTCTTTGGAACAATATTTATGAACATTGTTGAGCAAAGTCTCAGCTCTTTCTATGTATTTCTTTAATTCATCATTGGATAAATTTGCTCTTCCCTCTTCCATTGGTTTAGACTGATGTGGTTTAATTTGTGTGTGTTTTCTCAACCAGTCCAATATTTGTCGTCTAGATATATTTTATTTCAATGTCAGATTAACAAAATCTGTAATTATGTCTCCTGTCGCCTGTTCTGGAGTGTTTTGAAGGAGTTGTATTTCTTCAACAATTTTATCCTTTTCTTCTATTGTAAATAGCGGCAATTTGCCACCCGTCGAAGTATTTGTTTAATTGGAACTGTCTATCTTTTGCCATATGACATACAAGTATTGACATTGGCATTTAAAATTTTAGAAATGGTATCAAATAAAATTTGTTTTGAAAAATTCGTTTTACGCAAGTACAAAACCTATTCTTCAAGAAGTTGAAATTGTTTAATAGTTTCTTCATGTTCTTTAATAAAGGTTACAATTTCCTTGTTGTTTTTTATATTGTCGGAAATCAACTCAGTTGAAATCGTTTGAGAAGAAGCGAGTTTATTGTGCTTTATTATTTGAAATTGATAATTTAAATTTTCGTTTGTTAACCACATTTTGAAAGCCAAATTGTTTATAAAATAATTTATTATATTAACCTACTTTAATATAAGATGTGTCATTTTAAATTACACATGTTGTTAAATTTTTATTGTGGGTTATGTTTTAAGTAAAAATTTTATTCTCATTATACTACCACTTATAACATGGATCTAAATTTCCAGTATCATAATAAAGCAATCATATGGATTGGAGTTATGATATGTCATGTTTATTGTGTTTTAAAAAGATGTGTTTGAAAATAAAACACATCTCATCATTTTTCTTGTTTTTCTAATAAATTATTAGCCCATTATTACTATTGAAATGATGTTTGGTTTAAAAATACGTTTGATGTTTTGTTGTTTCGTGATTTTTCTTGAATAGATTTATGAAAAAGACAATTCAAAAAGATGGTTCTACAAGTTTATAATGTGTTTTATTGGTCAAAACAAAAATTCAATTGTTTTAAGAAATTTCAATTAAAAAACGAGTTTTTTTCTCTTTTTCTTATAACAAATTTTATGTTTTTTTTGTTTTTTAAATTGTTATGTGGGCTAGTGCAGGTATGGCGCTTAGTGCAAGTATGTCGCAGGTCTTTACTTATTTTTCATAAAAAAAGATTTCTGTTTCATAACAATTAGATTTGTACTTTGTCAGCCTGTTCAAATAATTATTTTGTTGCACAATTTGCACAATTGTTGCATAATTGGCATTATTGTTGCATATCAATATTGGGTGTTCAGAACTATTTATTTATTCTCAAATCAATAATTTATTGTTCCAAAACAAAACAATGTTTCATAATTATTGTCTTTTGTTTTAAAATAATATAGTATTATTGTAAAACTGCATTTTATTGTTTCACTACAAAACGTTATAAATTAACAAAAAAAACATAAACTATAAAAAAGAA